TCTATTTGTACCCACTCCAGAAACAGAAATAATCAACCCCATTGGCTGAACTTTTTTTTAATTAAAAAAAAATAACAAAAACCCCAAACTCATGCTCATGAAAATTATATCATGTGAATTAACTTTCTTCCCCACAAAGAAATCCTTGACCTCTGTCTCATGTTCTTGGGACATTAAGTGAAGAGCTCTCAAAGCCAAGTTCATTGTGACAAAGATCATGAGCTTCTTATTGGTGTGGAACCTGGATCCAAATGAAATGTTTCTGTGGGCAACCAGTTAGTAATTTGACAGAAGGTACAGGAAAAAGTATAATAAATTAACAGTTGCTTTTTTTTCCCCTTTTCTCCCTCCTAATGAGGAAATGCAAGTTTTTAGCCACTGGTTCCTGTGTTTCCCTTAAAAGCAGAGTTAATAAGACAATATGAACATATCTAACTGATTCGACAGCTGCCATCAGATCCATACTTCAGGTTAATGAAAACCAAGTGCTCTCAAAGACTTAAGAGAAGCCAGTTGCCTAAGATCTATCTCACCAAAAGGAGTTACAGGATAATTCTGAAACTCGGGCAGTGAAATGTTTTGACAGTGGAAGAAAGAAACCTTGAAACAGCTTGCATCTTTACTGCTGTTCACAGAAAAGTTTGGAATTTTCTTATCCAGATTATTCCTGAGCTCCAGGTAATGGCATGAGAACTGCAAACTTTGTTAAAGACTGTTATGATCTTCTACACAACCCATTCAACATGCAATCCACTTCCCATTTTGAAACTGCAGCCTCTGAAGTTACTGGTTTGACTCAACTAGCGGGGAAGATGGCAAGGAAGAGGAAAAAGTAGATCTGAGAAGTTTTCTAGAGGGCAAGGGGGGGAAAAAAATATGTCCAGCAGGAGACAGGTTACACACGTTTGTTCTTTTTCCAGTAAAAAATTAACACTGCAGTACTATTTAAGTCTGGGTATCCTATGGGTTAAGTACAGGAAGCAAGTGGCCTCGTGGGCAGCAATGCGAGCAGAGTATTGCTGCTTGATCTGAACCCACGAGCAGTCGAAATGGCATGCTTCAAAACCAGAGAACTGCCTGAACTGCCTGGTGTAGAGCTTTGACACTAATAAAAAGCACATGACAAGGTCAAGGGATGCCCATGTACACCGGAAAAGCCTTTTTCCTTCTCTTAAATGAAGCAGTTCAAAATATTGATATCCTGTCTTAAAAACAATCTGCTCTCTAGTAAGACCATACACCTGCAGTTGCAAGACAAGTGTTTTTGCAGTTGCTCTTCTGCTTTTCATGGAAGAACTGGCAATGACTGTTAATGCCAGGATCAGAAAGTGAAACACCAATTCAGAGGCACGCTTAAGTGCCGTACGCACACATTAACACATAGATATGCTACTCCCTAATAATTTTGAGTTAACAAATGTTTGTTAAAAGGAAATGCACTAAGCAACTGAAACCTAATTTGAAAAGGAAATACGATATTCCCATAAACGTATGCATGAAAGCCAAGAAGCTGCATAATAGGCATAGAAAACATAAAAATGTGCAATTTACATATATTACACACTAATAATCTCCGTTCTGACATTATATTTAAAGAGCTCTGGCTGAGATAGCATGCTTGCAGTTTGGTTGCTTTTTCATGAAATACAAACAAGGAGACTCCTGGCTACCAGTTCCCCGAGACATTAATCCCTGTCTTATTCCCACAAAAGTCAACCCTTTGCAGGTCTGAAAGACAGACGTTGCCTCACCACAGCCAGGTAGCAACGAGTAAGCCAGATGAACAAGGAGAATAATCAGTCATCTGGAAGAGATCTGCAGATCTTGTCTTGATGTTAAAAAGTGCTGAATAGTATTAACAAGGTGGCACTCTCTCTATTCTCTTATTCTTTTAAAGAAGAGCAACAACATTTTATTTCCCAGCCTGCAAGACAGGTACGTGATGGAGCATTCTGCTTCCTAAAACTGACCAAAACATATGGTCTTCTCTAACTTCCAAGTTCATGGCTAACATGATAAAAATAAAATTACAGCACCCTAGCCATCTCCCCTCATCCTCTGCCTTCACCCAGTGCTTGCCTGAAACAACATATTAGTCCATCATACTCAAGAACAAAGTTAAAAAGGAAACATCCTGCATGGAAAATAAAGCTTCCCCGGGGTTCTGTGTGTCAGACCCTCATTTGGAATAAACTGAAAGCAAAGAGGAAAAGGAGGTTTAAGTCTGGTAAGAATATGATCCTGTGAATCTTAATATTAGACTTTGTTCTGTATGTTCTGAGGGTTTTTTTTTTTTAAATCACAAAAGATTATTTGGGCTTCAGACAAAGCTCCCCCTCCCCCCTCTCGCTAAACTCACCGTAAATTCAGCTTTACACACAGTATGTCCAGAGCGCTTGCCTGAGAGGACATTGATGGGTGGAAACATTATGTTAATTGCTCACACACTCAGATTTATTGTGGTCAAAAATCCACCGGCTAGTACAAAGACCTTCTTTCCTCCTCATCTAAATTCCACGCACACATGCAGGGCACTGCAACATGCCCACTCAGACTTCATGAAATCCCCAACACAGAACTGGCTTTCGACTTGCCAGCCACCTGGGCGCCTGTGGGAAGGGCCCCGAGGAAGCATGATGAGGGGACGCGCTGCGACACCCCCCACGACTGAGGGCCATTTCACACACAGTCATGTCACACATACATGACCGACACCTGAGGCTCTTCTTCCAGGCATAAAGCACAATCGCTGTTGTGCTAGATTCCCACAATTTGTTGCATGTAATTTACATATTTGAGGCTGTATCACTCCCTTGTAAAAACATAAAGCCTAGGTATGTAATTTTATACATACATAAACACACTTTATACTCGTCTCTAAGTTATTGTTTAGGCCCAAAATTGTTTTAGAGGAGCTGTTGGTAACACTGGATGAATTTAGGACTAGGTTTCTTGTTTGTTTGTTTGATGGAAAGATCTTTATCAGCCAGTGAAGGTAATCATTCAGTTGCCAAGAAGCTGTTCAAAATCTAAATGGATATAAGTAATCTCCTGTATGCATTCAGTGAAGAACATGTCAGCTTTTGACTCATCAGCCTTCTCCTGAACCTGTTGGTAGAGGTGCAGGATAGGGCCAGGAGCTCTAAGCTCTGGGGTAGGAAAAGGTTTCAAAAGTCTAAGGGAAAACAACAAAATCCAGAAGTTTCATAGCGTAAAGACAGGGCTGGGTGCAAAGAAGCACAGTAACTGATTAAAGACGTCTAATCTGCTCCAGAATCTCCTTTTGATTGTATCAAACCTCAAATCAGCAAGACTTTGGGGGGAGGAAACCTGGCCTCACTTTTTTGTCCCACTTTGCCCAGACACCACAAGATTTCTTTACTGTTGTGCTCCACTTCTGTGTCACAGACAATAAAAGCTTTGTGAAGGGAAAAAAAGAACACATTTTCCGTAGCCAGAACCAACATACATTTAAACTGACACTAACAACTACTTTTGATGGATTAACGCTGAATCCCAGAAAGCTGTTTATGTCAAAATTGTGGAAGCCTTGCACACTATGAAACTGGCCATTTAAAAAAAAAATGAAGCAACTAATATAATGTCATGGCTTTTGTTGGAGATTGCATTTAGAAATCAAAATACTTTAGAACAAAATCCATTCAAGTCTTGTTGGAAGTACATCCGTTTGTTTTTCTGTTGGTATTTTTTTCCTGAGGTTTCAAGCCATAAAGTTTTGTACCCCACTCTATGCTATAGGAATCTGTGAAACTTAATTACATTTACTGTTACAAAAAAGGGTTTATGAACTTTTGCCTTTGGGCAAAAATGTTTATTTCATTGCCTTTGTTATTCATTCTTTTCAACTCCAGTGCCTTTGAACTTTTCAGCTGCACAGAGTTATCACCGTTGCACAGGAACCAGGAACTGTACTCCCGAGATGCAAACCACAAGTTGAAAAAAATGAAGGAGGCAAAGATATACGAGTCGTTATTTTGGCCACCCTTTGTGCCATTAAAATCTCATTTTCTGCCTATTAGAATGCCCTCTCCCTGCTTAGGCAGTGGTGATAGTCAGTGATTAGTGTGTAATTGAGTATAATTGTCTTTTCACTTTTCATTTGTGTCATTCTGAGCTTCTCTCTGTTTTTCTAACCACTGAGAGGAAAAAAGGGTAGAAAGAAGATAAAGCTGTTAAAACTCTCACTTTCAGCCCTGAAGAGATTCTTGATTGTAATTATAGATTGCATCCTCTTTGTGACTTCTCAGAATTTAGTGGACATCTCTTTCCAAGCACCTGGGCAAAGCTCTCGCTAATAAAATAAACTACCATCTATTCAAGCTTTAACTAATAATGTCAGCTTCAGACAGATGCCATGTGTAGGAAAATTTAACCAACCTTTTGACACACAATTATCAAGGCAATTTATTAACATGATTTCCTAAAAGGAGCTCATGCAAATTAGAAAAACAATTACGGTATTCATGCATTTATATATTCCCAAAGAGCAGTAATACTCCTAATTTATGTATTTATAACTCGATTATGGCTCATCTCAATGTGTACTGCTCAGGCCTTGGAACTCTCCTTGTACAACTTGCGTGTAATTTTCCTGGACCATTCGGTAAAACCTTGGTGAGGTTATCTTAAAGAGATATTTTATTTATAGAAAAACTATATGATCTACTTTCTGTACCTAGCCATGGATCTTCAGGAAAATAGCAGTACGTTACAAATGCCTGACAACTGAGTGTAAACATGAAGCCTGCATGATTACATTAGAAATCACTTGAAATTAAATATAAGCTATGACTCTTGATTCAGCCAGTAGGAGGAAAAAAATAAAAAAAAAGAAGGAAACTAGCAAACTGAAATCATGTGGCTTGTATAAAGAATACATTATGGTTTAAATTTGGCAATTCATTATACTGTGGCCTGAGGGAATAGACTCTTTGGTTCTGGTATACAGCAAATCCTCTGTCTGAAAACACAGGACTGACCTGAGGTGAAAGGCCATTGCCAATGGCAGGGTTCATGGGATTTGAGGGCCCGGACGGAGGCACAAAGCTGTCTGTATAGCTGGAAAATCCATGCCTGGTGCTGGGTAGGCAATAGGCAGAGCTGCTCTCTGGATTCGAAGGGAGGCTGCTTTGGTGTACTGTGCTTGGAGGGAGAGGCTGAGGTCTATGGACGGTACTGCTTGGATCAGACACAGCTAGAAGCAAAAGAAACATATTGATACGTTTTCCTCCTTTTTTCCGGCATAAGAAGTTCATTATGTGAAGCTCAACTTGACAGAATTGCATCAGGACCTGCATGTAAATACTAGTTAAATAGAAAAGTAAGTCTTTAATATTGCTAGATATTTAACTGGCCAGTTAAATTACATAAAAATTCTTAAAAGACTATAAAAGTTATAACAAGACATACACAGTTTTCAGACAATCCTTAGTGCGTACATATTGTTCAGAATTGCTGCAGCAAAATTAAAAAGAAAATTTATATTTATATATATATCCATCATACATAAGATATAATATACTTTCTATATATACATATATATAAAGGAAAAGCTTTATTTGCTTAGAAGACTGGTAACAGGCTTTCCCCTCCTAGTCACACCACAGAAATTCTGCCATGATTTGTAGTAAACCTAGCAACAGATAGGAAAAGCCCTGGGCTTTGCAAAATTCCCTTAATTAAAATGTGGCCTGGCCAAACCATCCACCAACAGTTAGGATCCAAATCTCAAGGAGGGAGCAAGGACAGCACGGTAATTTGTTCCACAAAAACTCACCTGTAACGTTTATCTTTAACAATAAAATCTAGCGTAGCCTAGATCTGAAACTCTGTTCCCCGCTCTAAGGTTAATACAAATTTTTACCATACTGAGACTTGTGACTATCTGATGTAAAACAAGATGGCCTGAATATCTGTTTTTTTCCACCATCAGATAAATATTGTGAGTACTCACAGAAGTTTCCAGTGCACCATCATCGAAAGCAACGAAGAAGACAGAATGCAACTGCTGTGTCCTTCCCGGCCATGCTGGGCACTCTCGGTGGAGGAGCAGAAGGGTAGGGAAGCATGTACATCGCTTTACCAAACACTGCACCTGTTGTGCATGAGGCTACTGTTTCTCTAGTTAGCACCCTTCACACATAACCAGCCCTTTCTTGCAGCAAAACAAACCTGAGTTCTTACACACTTAAATGCAATGTCCTCACTGACTCAGACCCTAAATTAGTGAACACCCCTTTTTCTAAATTAGAGAAGAAAATGTTTCTGCAATGGATCAGCACGGGAAACCCCCAATAACACTATTTTAACGAAGTACCTGTTGGCTACTGTACCTTGCGGTATGGAGGTGGGTTGATAGGAGGGCTCAGAGAGCTGGTATGTCGGCAAAGTTGGCATGGCACTGGGTGGAAATCCTCCTGGGATCAGATGGTTGAAAGCCATCAGTTGATTGGCTCCTGCCTGTTTCCTCCATCTAGCACGACGGTTACTAAACCAGACCTACAAATGTTTTAATTAGGGACATTTGATTTTTGTACATTTAATACAGATGCATCAGAAATAATGGCATCGTATTTCAAATGCATTCAGTGTCTAAGAAGAGAGATGCAGAAGATGCACACTGGGCTCAGAGCTCCTAGACGAGAAAGGAGCCCTTGGCTCACACTTCCATGGTTCAACAGACAGGACACAGGAATCCTGAACCCTAGTTTCCTCGCAAATACAGCCTCTCCCAAGAAACCAGCTGACTAATGCTTTCAAGCTTTAGTGCTTTTAATAGTTATCAATCACTATCCTTATTGTGCCAGATTTAATGAAAAAGGGAAAACATATCTCCATTTGATCCAAGTGCCAGCCAAAGCTATTTGGTCTGGATTGTATTGTCTTTATATTTAATTTGCTGACAAGTTAGCAGCATCGCTTAATGCACTATTGGAAGGTGCTTGTACTTATATGTTGGGATACTATATTGCCCTAATGATCAACAGAACTTTAAGCTTTTAATTTGAAAAATACAAGCCCTATGTACAAAAAACACACAAATCCCTCCCAGCAAGTTTTCATTTATTCACATATGTACAAAACATCTCTTAATAAACTTGACATTAACAGTAGATCAGTATTTCAGTACTAGATTAGCATTTCAGAACCACTTTGAAATCTGTTTCCAGGATGGGGTACCAAACAGATGGGGTTTGGATTAGCGGGACACTTTAGCTATAAATCTGCTTGCCTTCACGTCATTCTCAGTTCGTGTTTTAAGTTTTCCAAGTCTTGGATGGCTCTTATTGCCTCCAAGAAAGGAAGAGAGGCAAGACTTCACAAATGCAGACACAAGAGTTGCAAAACACATAAGGTTAATATTGACATTATAGCGATTAAACACGCCACAAATCAGAAGGGCAACCAGCCACAGCAGGGGTGCCTGGACCAGCATGCATCCACACTGCCCTGCTGCAGGTTTAGAGAAACTTCTAGATTACAGCGCTCAGGTCCATGACGGGGACCACCGCAGAAAAGAAAGGTTGTTGGAGATAAGGGAGACTACATGTTTGTAAACAAGCAGACAATTACTCATAATTGTACACCCTGAAGCAGCTGCAATGATCATCGGTGAATACTATCAATTAGATACGACCTTAACTGAGTGTTAGCAGCTTACAAGGTACATCTGCACAGCCTGAAAGCCGCTGAGGCACGTTAGCTGATGAGCTACACGTAGACAGATTTGTAAAAGTAAGTTGGGTCTTAGATCTGTCACCCTTCCTGCAAGCAGCCCATGCTGGCTTATGAATTGGCCATCACAGACTGGATTTCTAGGTGTAACATCACTTACAAACCATGAGTGGGCTTTACATAAGAGTGTAACAACATTTTGGACTACACTGGGCTTCTCCTCCCCTTGCTATTTCACAGTAGGAGTGGTGGGACTCACTGGGCCATCTGGTTTCTGATGCAGGCCATCTGTCACCATGTAGTTTGATCTGGCTTCATCCTCTTTTCAGAATGAGATGCTCAGTTCACACAGCTGCCTCGTCCTTTGGCCACGTCTACTCCTCAATTACACACTCCCACTCCAGTTTAAGATTTAGGACAGAGGGATAGATGGAGCCTCTGTTCTACCTCAGGAATCCCTCTCTTGTTTTTTTGCTGTACATACTAACCCTCCCTCTGCCTCCACACGAACCATTTCTGAAAGCAGCTGGCAGGGACAAGGCACCAGGGTAGAGATGCGAGACCTGCGATGAGCAATAGTTGAGGATGGGTCTAGATTCAGCAATATTTTTTACTTTCTCATCCTATAGACATCTATATCCTTTTTCACCTCTCTGCTTACCCTTTGCTTCTCTCACTGACACTTAAACCTAAATTTCTTATTTACTCCTCACAGACTCCTTCCACCTGCTTGTCTCCCAAAGCCCACCAGTCTCACACTCCTCTGGCAGTATCTTTTGAAGATGACCAAAGAGAAGCAAAAAGGGGCAGGACACACTGACGAAGGAGGAAAAGGCTTTGCTAAAGAGCCAAAGAGTACTTAGGAAGGATAACGGAGGTCAGAGAGGGAGCAGGGAACAGCAAGCGCATGTTGTAATTAGCCTGCCCAGGTCATTAACTATGGCTTTCTCCGTGACACTCTCCCTTCTTCAGGTCAAGAGGGTTATCTGATGATCTTCAAACGCTTTGGGAACACTAACTGAACTACACTACGTGAATGGATTTCACTGAGGAAAATGAGGTAACGAGATTTTGTTTTCTCTACAAATAAGCATTTGTCTTCAAGCCCTAGGTCTTTATTAAAATGAGTCAGATCCCAAACTTTAATTCAGTAGCGAGTGATTTGCATTAATGCCAAGTTTTATGCTTTCATTTACAGATAGATTTTTGGCTCATTTTATAATTTGCGTTTTTCCAGAACTGCAGATACGTATTAAACATCCCTGAAAGGGACACACTCAATAGTATCAAAAAGCCTACAGCAGTCCCACAATGAACATACTTGCGCAGAGCTCTGTTGCCACCCAGACCAAGTTGGACTCTGCAGGGGTGCCGGAACCCACCTGGGCTGTGCAGAAACAAGGCTGTGCATTACCACCTCAGTCCCATGCAATTGGGACATGCTAAATGGGTGCTACTTGACTGGCACCCATGTCACATGCTACTGACACAGCCATGGCTTCAGGCTCGTTGGCTCCAGCCACTGCTACTCCACTGCCTTGCTGCCCCATGAGCCGCAGCACACACCTGCTGCTGCTTGCCCTGGCTTCTTACTTTTCCCGGGCAGCAGGAAGGCAGATGGCACCTGACTCGCACTGGAATTAGTCCAAAACTAACTCACCAGAACTCACCACTAACTCGCCAAAACTCACAAAAAAAAAATTATTCAAACAAACTCCGAACTGTAGAGTGAGTCTTATTGCCACTAATACCACACTCATCATTACAGAACAGTAGAGGCACATTGGGAAGAAAAAAAGCCAACCAAACAAACCAACTGAGCAAAAAAAATGGGGTCCAATCCACATACGTACTTGTTTCCCTTTGATTTTAACAGGCTTTGGACCAGCCTTAGTAAAAATACTAAAAATCATTTCTCTTTAAAATGATGATTTAAAACTGAAGCTTTGAATCTGTAATTCTGGATGTTTTAACACAGTAATTTTTCCTGTTGTTACTATTTACTGTCATGGCCTCAAGCTTTTCACATGGCTCGAGATTTGGTTTGCGACTGTGTTTAACTCCCACTTTATACCAGGTAACTGCAGGTTTCAGATGTTCTGTGTGACAGAACACAAAGAAGAAATAATGTAACAGTAAGACAGGAGAAAAAAAATACAAATAAAATTAAATGGAAGAGTTAAAAAGTTGAAAATCGATTTTGGAAAGTCAAGAAAAAATTACTCAAAACTAAATAACTCAAACCTAAATATTTTATTTACATTTTATGTAATGTTTATTAAAATTAGTTAGATCCCAAACTTTATTTAGTAGCAGTTATATGCTTTCTATGTTAACTGAAATTTTTTAATCATAGTATTTCACTTAGACTATGTTCAGCTAACTTGACTCATTCTCAACAGTTCACAAAATTTTTTTATTTTTTAAATCAGCACATATCATGAAGAATCCATGTGCACTATTACCACTAATTAAAGAAATCTTGAAAAATTTTGCCAATATCAAGCCAAGACTTAAAAATAAATCTGGTCACCACAAACCAATGTGTCTGCTTAGAAACATATTGTAAACACCTGGGGAAATATTTTCTTTTGTCTGTACATTTCCAACATGATTTAAACACAACATCCTCTTATGTTCAGCAAATTTCAGCTTCCACCAGCATGACAAAATCCTCATCTTATGAGTGGCCTTTTCAAACCTGGCATGTTCCCCATAAGATGCTTCTGTTCTCCCACAGCCTCCCTTCTGAGAGGGAAGCGATCATCACCTGGATGCAGAGATGCTCCGAGTATAACCCAGCCCCTGGTGAAGATCAAAAGTATCATACTGTGAGAAAGTGCCACCCTGTAGTGGGCGTAACAGAAAACCAACTCTAAACTATCCACATCTACTTAATCTGATGAACTAATGCATCTTGTGTGTTGCCTTCACCAGCAACAGCATGGATCTCTGTCAAAGGCAGACCAACCCTAGATAGTACTTCAAATCACCACTACCACACCAAATTCCCCCATGGAAGCAAAAGCAGTGGATAGGCAAGCTACTGCATTTTGGAGACTCAAAATATACTGTTCTTACACAAATGGTACTGTGTCTGAAGGAATATGATCTACTCATGTTGCTGGAACACGCAGGAGCTCTAAATTAGGTCAGCATTTTGTTGGTCCTGTGCAAATCCAGACACAGACAGATGAAACATGGCGTGTCTGAGGGACCCAAGCATCTAAAAATGACATCTGCACCAGAAGCCAGGTCACTTTCATTTTAGTGAGGCTCTGGCTCCCTAGTTTCTCTGTCGCTTTCAAAGATTGAATGTAAATAACTCAGACAATCTGGAAACAAAATTGAACCCCAGCATCTGGCCAAAATTTACATCTCAAAAACAGAACTGAAGACGACGAAATTTAGAGCAAAAGAGAAAAAAAGATAGTCTTGTAAGGGAAGCAAGTATTGGAGGCTCCAGTTTTTCAAGCATCTGGAACCAGACTGACCAAAAAAGAAATCACTCCACAATATAAAAAAAAAAAAAAAAAAAAATTTGCATTGATGTAGATTGGATGAGGTGAACTAATAGGTTCCTCTCATCTCTATTTTCCAATATTTAGATCCTGCTTTTTGTTATCATTTTTCCTTTAAGTAGTTTGCAAGTGATCACGCCAACATCTTATTTCGTTGATCTCAACAGGATATTCTTTAAAAGATGCGTTTATTCACTTGGGAACACACTAGTGTAATTAGCCTTGACATTTCAACAGCCTGATCATAAACACAGAGTGCTCTATGTGCTTTTAAGGCAAAAAGATCTCTGAACCAATAGGGCA